TACGCTTTAACATTTTCAATGTTAGTGATAGCTATGTGTGATTATGGTGATTAGGATTAAATCATTTGGTTATATGGCTTGTTTGACCTCATTTACATAGAAGCAAATTTAAAAGGATTTAAACTATCTCCTTTTTTGGAGAATGATAATTTCTTCATAGTCAGCAACCAGTTCCTATGGCTACATCTTCTCAGTGTAATGTAACACCTAGATTTTTAATAGGATAGGACTGGTTCCACACTCAGATGTATGCCTGAAATGTTCTTTAAAGTGTCCCTGTGATTTGAAGAAGGAACAGTAATATGCATGCTAAATCTAGAAGTCTTTTAAACAGGAAAAAGGACACTGCAATACTGCAATACTGCTGCAGAGGCCAAGAGAGGGTGTGGGGAAAGGATAGTTGGTCTACACTAAACCCAAATATGCCTGCTTTGGAAAGTTAATCTCACTGCCTGCACTTCACATGGACTGTTTGTCAGAAGATTGCTTTCTATTCATTATTACTCTCATATTGAGCAAGAAGGGACTTGGCCAAACCAGTAATATAAATGCATTGTATGCTCTACCCTCCCTCTTTATGATTAATTCTACCAGTGGCGCAAATTTGCATGAATGAATGTCAGTGTGTTTTCTGCCCTGAACATTTCCTGCTGGCTTCAGTTCAGCCCTGCTGACATTTATTACAAATAATAGCTAAATATTCCTGATTTAATAGCTGCAGTGGCCCCACATCTGAAGGTGATGTCTGTAATAAAAGCAGACAAGAAGAGCTTATAACAAATACTAATCAGATTGTGTTTGCACATATAATGGATAAGCCTCATGGATATATCCACAAAATGTAATTTTTTTTCAAATGCAGCTGCTGGAAGTCACAGTTCAAGAACATATTGGTTGCTTTATTTCTTTTTCATTTCTCTTCTTCCTCCATCTCCTTTAAGTACCTAAGGACTCTGTGCACAATCAAGATAGAATATTATCCTCTTTCTTTATCTAGGAAAAAAACAGGACAGTAAACACAGAAGACTGGCTGTGTCCTTTTATTCATCTTTTGTTGTTCCTTCTAAACAAAGGGCATTGTCCCCTGATAAATTCCATTTTCTGCCTCTTATTCAAAAGGTAGTTTACACACCAGCTCCAGTGATTCCCACACAATGCAGTGACTGGCAAAGATACAAATAACTTTCAAAGTTCTTTCAACCTGTTGACCCAGTTGTCCCTTCTGAAAGATATAAACTAGCCTTCCACACCTCTTACAATTGATAAAGGAGACTATAAAACCTAGAGATCACAAAAAGAAGACACACTGCCTACTAAAGGCAGGTTTTAAAAGCTTTGGGGAATAAAAGGTGCTTTTCTCTTTATCCTACCCAAACTTCACAAGCTTTCACATGAAAATAGAAGAAGGTCAAATTAGCATTGTCTTTACTTTGACATTTAAACACAAGAATTTTATTCACTTGGCATTAATTGTGACTAACTTTATGAAAATACAACTTTTTTTTCATTTTCCCATTTTCCAGTTTTCTTTTCAGAGAAAACTGTGCAGAAATATATAATTAGAGATGAATACAGCTACCAGAATTTTTATAAATATTTCATTAAGATATAGTATTTGATTGGCATACATTCCCGTGTTGCATAAACCACTTGACTCTGGAAACAAAAGTCTTAATTGCAAATTATTTTAAGATCTTCCAAAGTATGAACTCCAAAATATATTTCCTTTGAAGTTTGAGAATAATAAACTCAGGCAAAGGTTAGGGACTGGATATTTTTCTGGATGCCCAACGTCATGTCCTATTCTTACTGACTCACCCAAGAACACCCCATATCATAGCTTCTAACCCTAACCCTCCTCTGATCCTCCCAATGTTAGGGGACTTGCAGATGAAGATGGTGGGGACACAAGGTTAAAAGAATAATTCTATCAAATGGTCCCACTGTGCAGCCCCCCTCCACCACCCTCCACCACACACACACACATGCTGTTTTTGTCAAAAAGCAATTTACCTACAGTCCTACCTGGACTAAGTGGATAGAATATGTCACTTTCCTCAGCAAACTACCTGTTATCTAGAAGGAAATGCAGTCAGGAAATAATGTTGATAAGAGGAATGCAAACTGCTTTGAAGGGAAAAAATTTGTGACTCTTTTCACAGACCAGATTCTGGAAGATGGGGATAATTACTCTTAATCATAAAATCTGTAAGAATTCATGGTTAAGAAACCAATTAGAGGGGCTGGAGCTGGAGCTCAGTGGCAGAGTCCTCGCCTAACACATGTGAGGCTCTGGGTTCGAGCCTTAGCACTGCATAAAAATAAACAAATACAATAAAGGCATGTTGTCCATCTACAACTACAAAAAAAAATAAATAAAAGAAAAAAGAATCCAATTAGAACTGTTCAGCATGGGCCAAGGGGACCTAGAATTGTCATGGCAATAGGTACTTGAAAGTCTGAGGTTACACTGCTGTTAGTAAAAAGTCAAGAAGTGGATCTGGGCAAGATCTTCAAGAAATTTCTCTAGGATTCCCTAATAAAAATGGAGTGCAAGAGAGGCATACTGTCCCTCTCCTCTCTGAGAAGACACACTCTCTCTCTTGAGAGTATCTTTGTTCCCTTTTTATATCCCTCAATAAAACTTGGGCCTGTTACTCTGAGTGACATGTTGGAAATCTTTCTGACTTAATTGTAACAATAAGGATTTGAAGGAGGTCTTCTTGCTGCCTCAGTTTCCTGGAAGGCCCCAACTCTGTAACATCAGCAATCCTGAATATGAGTTCTCAACACATTGGTGCTTCTTCTCAAACTCTGACTTTGAGCTGCTGCCACCACTACCTGAGTAGTTGGACATCACTGCATGAGTGACCCACAAGGGAATCAAAATAACAGATATAGATTCAAGAAAATTTCTATTACCTTGATAATAGGAAATTCAAATTGCTCATCTCCTCACCTTGTGTGGCACAATCTCAGAATCAGAAGTGGTTTGTTTATTGTGATCTTCAAAAGAAGTAGAAAATTAAGCAAAATGTACCTATATTAATCTGAAATTTCCTCGTGAATTTTATATCTAGAGAATGTTAGAGCTAGAAAGGGAATTTAGAAATTATACTGGTTTTATGGATGAGGACAGTGAAGCTCAGGAAGGCAAAGTAACTTGCCAAAAGTCACATCATGAATTAGGTCAGAATTTGAATTATAATTCTTGTTTTAAGTCCCAGAAAATTTCTACCTGCCTTACACTATTCTATATTCAGCCCTATCTTACTTGTTCTCTTCTGGTTCACAAGAACCAGTTATTTGTTTCATCTGTCCTGAGCTGCAAAGTTGAGTCAATAGGTATGCTGGATTCTGAGTCGATAGATTATTCAGTCAATCATATTGTCTATGTATTGTTTTGTCTAGGAGCTGTATGGCTCACAGATAAACTAAATGATGTCATTGGTTTCTAATAGAACTTCTTCTCCTCTGGATGAGAAACCTTGCTCAGAATGACAGAGAACAATTTCAGATATGTTTCTTCATTGCTACTGGTTGCCTTTTCATGGGCAGCCATTGGTAATCAGACATTTAGGTTGCTGGACTTTGTGTCCTTGTACTTTTTTCTATCCTTTTTTTCACTAAAAGCTAAGTTTCTTCCAGAGATGCAGTTCATATGCTTAGCACACTGTGTTAAGATTCCTCCGTCTCCCACCATTTGCCTTTGCATATATTCAGTTTTGCTAAGTGTCCATTATGGTTCTGGATATATCTTACATAAATCTCTTTTAGCATCTATACTCCTTCTATGCCTTGGGCTGGGAATATCATTTCCCTACCCCATTTCTGTTCTGCTCAGATACTGCCTATTCTTTGAGACTTTTTTCTAAATATAAGCCAGATATGATTTCTTCCTACTCTGAGTACCTAATGCCCTTCTTGTCACTTCTATTTTAATAGTACTTATATATCGGCCTACCCACACTACAGTTATGAGCGCTAAGTGCACTAGGCCATGTGTTTGATAATCCATCCTTATGCTGCACATCACATAGCACAAGGGCCTTACTACTCAGTGGGAAATATAATCTTACATATATTAAATTAATATTTATCTAGAAACCATATATGTTAATCCTTATATTTCCTATATCATAAAAGAAATACATCTTTGTAATGTTATATTAAAACTAAAAAGAAACATGTTACTTTAAGGTCATGAGAGCTATATTTAAATTGAAGAGAAAGTACAACAAATTTTATACTGCAGTATGCTCTATCTAGCAGAAGCTGTGTGCCTAACACTAGAAGGTTTTATTTGTTTGTTTAGTTTTGTAGATTTTGTTAGAGCTTTATGGTTATATATAGTAGATGGATTCATCCCGACAAACTCATACGTGCATGGAAATTGATTTCAGTTCATATCTCCTCGTTCCCCTCCCGTACTCCCTCCCCACTCCCCTTCTCCTTCCTCCATTCTACTAAACTTCCTTTCACTCATTAATTTATATTTGATTGGTCCCTTATGTAATCTTACCTTTCCCTCCTGCTTTCTTTTATTTTACTCTGTCGCATATGAGAAAACATTCTACTTTTGAGTTTCTGAGTTTGACTAATTTCACTTAGCATTTCCACCCATTTACCAGCAAATGCCATAATTTCATTCTTTTAAATGGCTGAGTAGAACTCCATTGTGTGTGTGTGTGTGTGTGTGTGTGTGTGTGTGTAAAACAATTTCTTAATCCATTCATCTGTTGACAGGCATCTGGGTTGATTCTATAATTTAGCTATTGTGAAGTGTGCTGCTATAAACATTAAATTGACTGTTTCACTGTAGTATGCTGATTTTAGGTCTTTGGGGGAAATACCCAAGAGTGGGAGAGCTAGGTCATGTGGTGGTTCCATCCCTAGTTTCTTTTGAGAAATCTCCATAATGTTTTCCAGAGTGGTTGTACTAGCTAAGATTAGAAGTTTAAGTGGAGGAAGGCAGGAAATCTAAGGACTGACCAGCAAAGGAGAACATGCAGTTTTGGTTTATTTTAACACTAAGCATTGGTGTGAGAGACAGTCACCCAGAAGTGCTTTATTGTTGCTTTTCTTTCTTTTTCTTCTTCTCTCTTCTTTCTTTTTCTTCAGTCCTAGAGATAGATCACAGAGGTACTCTACCATTGAGTTATATCTGCAGCCTTTGTTATTATTATTATCATTATTTTGACACAAGTTCTCAACAAGTTGCCCAGCCTCGCCCCTAAGTAGCTGGGATTACAAGTGTGCACTGCCATGCCTGGCTCTTTTTTTTTTTTTTAATGACCACATTGTGGTTGATTAGGAGACCTATGCAGTATCCATTGCACCACAGAGCCAGTTTAAAGGTGCTTTCTGACCAGAAGTGCTCTTAGCTTAAAATTGACCCCAAAGAGAGTCAACCCTTCAACTGTCCCTGGAGACGTCAATAGGCTGGATGTTCCAAAGAAGCTGAGTTTGGGTTAAGAAAAAACAAAAACAAAAAAACTGCACCCTGGAAGCAAAGATCAAACTTTGACAGGTAAGAGGAAAGAACATTGCCAGTAGACCAAAGGAAAGGTTGTGCAACAAGGACTCAAAAGCCAGTGGTGTTGAGCATGGAGTCTGCATGCCCCTCAGTGTTTCCTTTAGTTGGTGCATTATAGAAAGTCAGATGCTCTAACACATACATTGACTGTTACAACTTCTGTAGATTCAGTTATTGCCCTCACATTTAGCCACAAAATTACTGATTTGGGCCCTAAGAAGGAAGTATAGCTGACTTTTTCAGAGGCAACTTAACTTTCTGTGGGGCAACCACCCAAAACCATGCTTTTCAAACTTTAATGTGCTTATAAATCACCCATAGAACTTGTTAAACTACAGATTTTGATTCACCTGGTATGGGTTTGGAATTCTGCATTTCTAACAAGTAGCCATGCTGGTTTCTATACCAAGCATTCAGTTGGAAAGACTTAAACAACACATAAACTCTGGTCTATCATATAGAACAGGCATATTTTTAAAAATTACAGTCTAATGCTTAAATTAAGTAATGTACATGCATAACTTATATACATACCATATAATTTAAATGTTATACTATCTATAACAACATGTTATATTATTTCAGGCCCCATATGTCATTATATTCCCTTGCCAACATATAACGAAACATTTTTATTCACTTGTTTTCATATTTATCTCTTGCCTCTGTCTGCTTATATTCCTTTAATAGATTCCAAATGAGAAATGTTCACTTCACAGATTTTAATTACCTGAAATCCTTTTTTCCTTATTGATTACCAAGAGCAAAGTAGCTTTTTGTGTTAACCTTTCAAAATGTCCAATTTAATTTATGAATACAATATTTTTCAGCTCAGTGTGTAGAGATGATGCATACTGCTTCATACTGCCTTTATGAAAAGATCATTTTAATTACCCCTCGGAAATATCTGGGATGGAGAATTGTGAAAGTTCATGAACAGAACTGCCCAATAATTTGTTGGAAGAGTACATACATGGGATCTGCAAAGCAATCTGTGGTAGATAAGGCATTCCCTTAACTGCTGAGGAAATTTGTTTTGACATCACATTAGGATTAAATCAGTTATGTAATATTCAACAATGGCATAATTCCATTTGTATTTATAAAAACAAAAGGCTGATTTTCTGGATTCCTAGGAATGACTAAACACTGGTATTAGGCCCAGAGACATCTCAGCAGGAATAAGGGGTTTCTATTAGTGAGGTCATCCAGAGGCATTTGAATGCACAGCTTCCATTATTCCAAATGTGGCCTCTATTCTAGGAAGCTTCAAGGTCACACCAACACTGCTTGATTGCAGTCACTTCTCTGATGCCTTCAGCAAGTGTTTGCTCCTTTTTACATTTTCTGGTCTTTGAAATTCACACAGCAACTTTATTCCCCCAACCCAATCAGAAGGCTTTCAAGCAAGTCATTCTGCAAAACACAAAATCAGGGGGAAAAGAAGCTAAATCAAACTCAAATAAAAAGCAGTGATAGAAGGCTTCAACAAAGTCCACACAGGGAATCAAGCTTGCTTTTAAACAAAAATATTGACATAGCAATTTAAAATAAATACCAGCTTCATATGCTGAACACTTTATTATTGGCTCACAGGACTGCAAATGTAAGGAACACATTCTTCTCTGAAACATTGCCAAAGGCAAACCTCTTAAAAGCCAAACATTGTGACATGTTCTTAAGTAGCTTGCCATCATGTGGATTGTTGCATTTGGTATAACATAACGCCCGCATGTTCATTAAGCCTACATTTTGCAATTAAGGTACATATGTTTTTCTTCTCCAAATGTCTGAAAGCCAGGTGGAACGGAGTCAATCGCTCTGGTGACATTGAGCATTTCTATAACAATGCTGAATTCTAGCGCAGCATTTTGCATAGTCTGCCTATTATATAGGAAAACAGAATTGCTAATATGTCCTTTTGTGTAAAGTTGTAAAAGCTCTGAAGATCTTAGCAAATACTGGCTATGTATTTACTAAGGTACATGCAGCAGATGTCTACAATTATCCTGTTAAAAAGTTTCATTATAAGAGACCCTTCAAATAAAACACTGCTGCCCGTAATTGTACATTAATTGGCTTCATTCAACTCTGAAGGTCTAGAAGAGCACTGACCTATGATTTATTATCACCAAAGCACATTTTATGCTAAAAATATTGAGGCGGTCTTTGTTTTTTCATTGAGTTTTAATTTTTAGGCAAAGTGTCTATATAAGTAAGACAAGTAGATTTTATGTTGATAATCAATATTTCTTTAAATATTTAGAAAGCAAAATATAAATGAATTTCATTACAACCTGAGACAATACCTAACCATAAGAGGCAGAAACAGAGTAAAGAGGCTGACCTAAGATTTATAATGGTTAAGTTTCAGTTCATTGGAAACTTGAAATCATGACCACTTGGGCAACTGAAATGTTAGATGTCAAGTAGCTAAACAAAATACGGCTTTTAAAATAAATCCCAGCAAGGCTAGAGTTCTGTGACCTCACACAATCTACCTCTCTGGGTAGAGCACAGTATAACTCTCATCGCAATGTCAGAAAGAGCTAATTAGCTGAAAGCTATATCTCAGGTGAAAGGGCAATGGGGAGCAAAACAAAGATTGCTTCTAAATCGCTCTCCCCGTGTCTACTGGACAGGGGTTTGGGAAGATTGCTTAAAGTGCAAAAGCTCTTTCTGATATTTCTGACAGTTAAAGTACCCTAAATTGGAATGCACTCCTGTGTAACAGAATAAGGAAGAAAACAATTTCCATGAAGTGTGATGGTTAGAAAAGTGGTTACTTTATGCTGTGAATACCCAAGCAATTTGGTGAAGTTTTTCTTAAACTCTGAAAACATTAGATAAATATTATGTGTGAGGTCGTCAATGTTTTACCAGTCACTATGCACCGAACCTATCCTCTCATACTTTACCACCCAGCTTAGCCACACCTTTCACCATTTTTTCTTTTGTTTTAGGAAAAGGCTTAGAGGAACACCGGACATTTATGATTTACTCTAGGTAGTAGAAAGTTTAGTAAAAGTGATGGGAGAGACTTGAAAATCTGAGGCACTTCTGATTTACCCCCCAGGACAGTGGAGTCAAGAGTACACTGGGCTAGAGTGATGATCTTTCAGTTACTAACTAGTAGGCATCTGGATAATTCTCTTAATCTTTCCTTGATTAGTAATATGTAAAATGAAGAGGTTTGTCTGCCTCTGGTTTTGAATTCCTCATGATGACTACAAAATCCCACATTCACTTTTAGGAGGGGCATTTTTAAACCAGCGTTTTCTTCTTTCGTCTGTGGTAGTTCATCACTGAAAAAGGAAACCTAGGGTTTAATTACCTAAATCTCTCTAAGACACCCTTTATTCAGAAAGTTTCATCTATAAATATTAGAGTAATAAAAAACTTAGGAATTCCTATGCATTTATAAAATGCAAAGAAAAAGAATGGTCCTGGGACACTAGGATATTTTGTAACTGTCAAAAGCTGTCATGGGAGTCCACATAACATTAGGTGTTCACAAATGGTCAAAGATGGACAAAGTTTGGGAAGACTATAAAAGAACTGAGGAGAATATCCAAATAATTCAATCAGGACTCCAAAATAATTTGCATGAAAACCACATCATTGAGGTACTAGTTTATGGTAAGACCCTTTACCTGTATCTCAAGTAAAAACCTATTGGGTACAAAGCATTGTCCAAGGTGCTGATGATAAGTGGAAAGAAAAATGAACAAAATGTGGACCCTACAAGGAAGAGATGACTCTTTTGTAAAAAGAAAAGGGAAAAAAAAGGCAAACAAACTAAACTTGAGCCAAGGAGCTTTTTACACACCATAGTCACCTTGAAATTACTAGAGATTACAGAGATGTGTGTGAAATACACTCAGTTAATCAAATCAGCTTACTAAAAAACCTAACTCAGATAGTCTTGAGTGGAAAAACTTTCAACCAATTCCAGACTAAAATCAGACAATTTGGTCACGGCATGGAAGCAAACCAATATTCGGTTAATTTAACAGACATTTCACTTTGAATCAGGTGTTTGGCTGACATTCTAAAATAGTAAGAGCAAGACCAGACAGCAGGGAAAACAAAGCAAATGAATGACTAAAATGAATACAGAAATCACATAAACTATAAAATAAAAAAAAAGAGAAGGGGGGAAGGAAAAAGAGAGGATTTAGTTGATTTTTAAATGTCCTTTCCCAGTTTAAAAAAAAAATCCCTTGATTACATATCCAAGATCAGAAATTAGAGAAAATGAGTTCAGACCATTACATACCACAAATAACTCCAGGATTTTACATGGAATAATGTATTTCAAAGCACATTCATTCAAGTCCTATTTAAATTATTTCCATTCAAAAATGAAAGTAAGTGCCAAATTCAGCCAGGTTTGATGATAAAATGCAGTACAAACTTTTATCATTACATTAAAAACACAGGCTAACTTCCATAAATAAACTGATGTTTCTCTCTTGGGACTACTTAGGTTACTGAACTAAAAAATACTTAAAATATAATGCCATTTTTCAGCAAGTTATATAATTGCACCATATTTTTATAATTTCTTTGAAAAAAAAATGAAGTTATACCAAATCCATGTAAGTCACCCAAAATTTCCTTCTTTTACATGGTATGTTGGGATTGAGGGCAGAGAGGATTTGCGTCAAGAAATACAAACTGAAGCAGATCACATTTGCATCTTATAATTAAGGTCCATGATTAAAGTTGAATATCTCTAAATATCTCTACATACATCCCCTGATGTCACACTCGGATATTTCTTTTAATTTAGACACACTGTTCTGCTGTGTAACCAAGAAGTGAAATGAAGATCAGCCATTTTTGCTACTCAATTCTAGATGTTTCTACCATAATTTGGAAAGATTGCAGTCAAAATGCTTCACTTCCTGGATGTTAAAAATCATGTTTCCTATGGGCATATTATGAGGCAAAACCAATAAGCAAAACTGCACACTTATTTTGAATTAAACTAAAACCTGATTTATGTGAATTTTATTCATTGATGCTAACTTGAATTTTTTGGTGGCAAAAATATCACGACTGTTTCTATAGGATGCTTGTATACTCTTGCCATGTTTCACTTAGCACACAATATAAAAATATTATGAGTAGTATATAAATCCCAGTACCTTTAGAAGAAATAGTTACCAAACATTCAGAGTCTCTAAAAAATAAACTAAAAGGAATGTTTTGATAGCTTACATATAAATTTTATCACTATATTTATTGCAAAGATTATACTTAACATACTAGGCATTCTCAGTCATGGAATTTTAGAACTGAAAAACAGCATAAAGTCTGGATAGTCCAGAATAGCATGAACACAACACAACCATTTATCTTTCCTAAACTCTAGGCAGACAGCACTAATCAATTTCAGCTCTCTTTTCTAACTGAGCCTTGGTGTGGCCTCAAATGCTTATCCATATAGCACTCCAGGTTGCTCTTACAAATGCATCACAGTTGACAAGAAGAAATAAATTTACAAGCTTTAATCAAGTCCAGCAACCTTAATATACAAATAAGGAAACTGAAATAAGAACATAAGTAATATCCCATTTTGCTATTCCAGTAGTTTTATAGGATAGCTAGGATTAAAACTGATTTTGAGCTTTTATAGCCACATCTTGTTGCCTTAAAGAACTTTTTTTAATAGTGAGAGACAGGAGGTTTGAAATTAGAATATTTTTAATTTAAAAATCTCATTGCCTTATTTTCATCACATTGCAGCTGTTGATTTTCATATACATAATGTGTTGTTATTTTTTCTCCTGCCTCTCTGTAAGCCAAAAATACATCCTAAGAACAGAACATTAGTCCCTTATCTTTTTAAAAAATGTACACATTATTGAAAAAGTTACACTTTGTGACAGACTTGAAGAATTCATGGAGTTGGTCCTGATAATAGCTTCTCTTACCTGGTTCATCTCAGGTTTTCTTTTCTACTGACAAAAAATTTGGGTTTGTCCACCTGCACATGAGAATATCCTCATTGGTTATTCTGATGTCAAAAAGTCTATAATCTAACTTCACGTTACATTTTATCACCAATCAGCACTGGAATTCCTTGTCAAGGATTTGGTTTGGTTTTTGGCACTTGAGCTCTGGTCCCTATTCTCTACACATGTCCTTCTCCAGCTGTTCTACCACTCAAGTATAATACAGCTTCAGCCTGTAAAAGCTGTTAAGAAAAGGAAGAATCCACTTGCTTCCTTTACCATCAATCACCCATCTACTCAATAAATAATTGCTCAGTATCTGTTATATGGCAGGTGCTCTTCTGAGTGTTAGGATTCAGCAGTTGATCAAGTAAAAACTCTAGACATCAGCAAGTTCACATTCTCATGTAAATATTGGCTAATAAATACACACACTGGTACATGTTGATTAGA